GGGCGCTGCTGCCTCGCTGCCCCCGCGCCGTGACCCCCGACCCCGCACCTCACCCTGTGCTTCGCCCTTCCCAGATGAAGAAGGGGACCTGATCGCCTTCTCCTCCGACGAGGAGCTGGAGCTGGCGATGCCCTACGTGCGGGATGGCGTGTTCCGTGTGTACATCAAAGGTAGGGCACCGTGGGGCTCCGACTGTGCGCTGGGCTGGCAGGGCTCCCGAAGTGGGAGCAGCCAGCCCTGGCCCTTCCCCTTGTCCTCCAGGGCCTGGTGGGAGCTGCGGCCTTGCCGAGGGAGGGTAAATAAAGGGCAGAGCAGTACGACAGAACATGAATCCTCCCTGCTGGGGGTGGGGGTAAACAGATCACAAGTTTCCTCCCAGCCCTGTCAGCCGGTCCAATGCGAGCTGCTGTTGTCATCCCGGCTCCCTGGGCACACTGAGCTGCCATTGGTATCTTAAATAGTCACGACAGTGTGTTAGGAAGCCTTAATTCCAGCTTTTTCAGCGCATAATAGCTCCCTAGTCCGTTTTGTTCAGGTGGATACCTGCAAAGCTTTATCTGCAGCCTGTCTAATGAGTCACACCAGCCTGGGGCTGTTGTCCCCATTCTCATGTTGTACCTCCTGGCATACGCCTTCCTAACTCCCTCTCCAGACACATTCTGTTCCTGCAGTGCTTGGGAAGGTAGGATGAGAAGCCAGATAAGGTTGTGCAGTGCTAATCTAAAATAAACATGCCAAGAGATATTTAGGATAAGCAATGATTGGTTTCAGGGCCAGGTATCTTTTCGAAACCCCTTTGCACTTGGTTTAAGGTCTCTCTTGTGCCCTCAACTTGTGTTTGGCAGCCAGTGTAAAAATAAACTGACCTAGTAAGCTAATACTGCTCTGACAGGGGCTGTTTGTGCTTCCTCCTCTGCCTGATTTCCAGCCTGTAAATAGCAACCTGTTCTTGATGGAAAGTTCCCTTTCCCTAACAGAGAAAAAGGATTGCAAGCGGGAGCATCGCTCGCAGTGCAGCCAGGAGCCCCCCCGCAACATGGTGCACCCCAACGTCATCTGTGATGGCTGCGAGGGACCCGTGGTGGGCACCAGGTTCAAGTGCAGTGTCTGCCCAGACTACGACCTGTGCAGCACCTGTGAGGGGAAGGGCATCCACAAGGATCACAACATGGTGATGTTCCAAAGTCCGCTGCTAAATCCGTTTGAGGTGAGCAAAATCTACGGCAGGGAACTAATGAATGGGGTATTCCTCAAATTTAAGCCACGAGTTTCAGTTACTTGGGATCTGGTGGTGTGGACAGTGTGACACGAATGTTGCCCTTCACAGTGGTTTCCCCGAGGACGCTGGCTCCGTAAAATGCGGCACGGTGTTCCACCCTTCCCATGGATGCACTGCTGGGGGTATCCTGGGCCTGCGCCTCCATGCCAGAACTCCGGGCAGGCTGAAGCCACCACTGCAGCCCCCAGTGCACCTGCTGCAGAAGGTAAGAGGAGATGCCCTGGTAAGCAATGTGGTGGTGGAGCCAGGCTAGCTGAGGTTCTGCAGCTCTGGTGGGAAGACAGACATGGGAACTAACGTAATTTGCTTGAAATAATTAGCACCTTTCAGCACAGAGTGGGATTACTTTAAGGCATGCTTGGGCCCATGCAATCGATGAGGATGCAGATAAGAGTATCTGGAACTGAACCAAACTAAGCCAAGCTGTTAGGTCAAGCATGTCACTGCCTTCCAGCATGGCTAATGAGCCTTAACAATGCTAATGTTGGCTTTCTGTTCCAGAGGTAGCTCAGAGTTAGTTTTTGTCTCTGTACTGCCTTTGTTGTGCAGTGTATGTGAGTGACAGGAAGGAGCACAAAGCTGTCATGGGGACACACACACTGTAGGTGCTCTTTCCCTCTGAGCTTCTGTGTGTGCTAACAGAAATTGTTTTTCTAGAAGCTTCTACTAACAACCAGCCTCAGGACCCCAACGTCACCTTCCTAAAGAATGTTGGGGAGAGTGTTGCAGCTTTTCTGAGCCCCTTGGGTAAGTGCCTTACAGTTTGTTACCAGGTCAATCCCTGGGACTGGTTTAAATGTCTGTTTAACAGGAGCAGCAGTCAGCTGTTCTGACTAGTATTAGAACTACCTCATGCCTACTAAGCCTCAAAGGCTTAGTTTATACCTGGTACTAATAATGCCTAAGCTTAGAACAGCCACTACCTTTTCAGAGTCCTCCCTTGGAAGAAAATGAGGCAAGACTTCATTAACATGTGAGCACTGGAACACTAACACTAAGTCAGGGGTCACTCTGGATTTTGCCTGGCTTATGTGGACATAGATACAATTCTGCCCTGGCCCTTTTAAATATATGGCTTGTCTGTGTAGAGCAAGATGACTATTTGGTGCTTAACTACTCTTTATTTAGAGAAAACTATTCTTTATTTAAAGAAGGCTTTGCATTTTAATTACTACATGTTATATGGCAAACTGTAGCATTGCAGAAGCTTTAGAGTGTAGAGCGGGACTGACCCATGCTCATTTAGGACTGTGCTTTGGAAAAAGCTCTACAACTTTGCCTCTCAAATGCATTTCTAGGTATTGAAGTTGATATTGATGTGGAACACGGAGGAAAGAGAAGCAAAGTGACTCCCACTGCTCCCAATCAAGAGAACAGTGGTGAGGCAAACAGCAGTGCTCCAGCCCAGAATGGTCAGACCAAGCCAGACTGGAATAACACAGACCTTGCTACAGAAGTAAATGTTGTTGCAGAACAGATACAGGACATGGCGATAGATCCTGTGCCCACACAAATGGAAGATGGTCCCTTCCACTCCCAGGTACAAGAACTGTGACACTAATTTAATAGTGCTGGCTGAGGCTTTGCTAAAAAGGAAGACAGTCATTTGGCATGCACTGTGGGATTGAATATTAAGATGACAGAAGATTAAGTGATATACAACACCTTTACAGGTTTACAGCAAAGGTGGGGGGATGTCTCGTGCATGTAGTTCTTTATATTAAGGGCAGATAGTAGGAGCATGTATCCTGCCTGGAAAGCACTGCAGCACCTGGACCTGTTTTTTTTTTTTTGTTTTTTTTTTTTTTTTTCCAGGAACACAGTGAGTCCAGCAGTTCATCAGGGGGTGAGGAAGACTGGACCCACTTATCATCCAAAGAAGTGGATCCTTCCACGGGTGAGCTGCAGTCCCTGCAAATGCCAGACACAGATGGTCCCAGCTCCCTGGATGTATCTCGGGAGCCTCCCCAGCCAGGACCTACAGGACTGCGAGAAGCTGCTCTCTACCCCCACCTCCCACCAGGTAGGAAAAAGGTGCAGGTTTCATAGCTGAGAGTAACTTTCACTTGAAAACGCAGATCTGTTTTAGAGGTGGTAGGAAGCAAGGTTGTGTTAGTTACAGCTAAACCTGTCCCTGACTGTTGGCAGGTTTGGCAGCTCTTGCACCCTGTTAGAGACAGTCAGGTGGTTCTCCTCTTGAATGTGGGCAGCTAAGTCTTAACAAGACTTCTGACCTTAGGCTAATGTGCCATTTGAGCAACACGACAGAGGTGCTGTCCTGAATCGTGTCCTTGCTATGTACTGCTCAAGAGAGCCTTTTAATGCAGCATGTGGACAGGTAGTACTCCCCGTGGCTTTAGGGCACGTTTTTCTGATGAGAGCCAGTAATACTATCCAAGGCCCCTTAACTGAGATCAAGAGCACACAGTCCTACAGCAAGGCCAGCTGAGCCTGATTCAAATGTTTTCTTAGCTCTGGTCATCATTTATCTCAAATGTTGGTGCTCCTGAGGGACAAAGGAGAGCATTTCACTGGGGATTTGTGCCACGCACTTCCTGTGTGGTATTAGAGCCTTGGCTGCTTTACTGATTACATGAAATAGTTGAACTCTAAACCATTTTTCTCTTCACAGAAGCAGACCCTCGCCTCATTGAGTCCCTGTCCCAGATGCTCTCCATGGGCTTCTCTGATGAGGGTGGATGGCTCACTCGACTCCTGCAGACAAAGAACTGCGACATTGGGGCAGCACTAGATGCCATCCAGTACTCCAAGCAGCCACCTCACTTGTAGTAGTAACAAAAAGCACTTTTCTAACTGAAAGAAGACAATATAGCAAAAGTCATTGCAGTACATCTTTTCTTCCTGCTAAGGGTTTCTGTCTCATGTTCTTATGTGCTTGTAGAACGAAGGATAAATAAATACTACTGCATGTGATGTGTCTGAGAGTTTCAGTATCACAGCTTTATTGCTTTATGTACTGTAACTTAGTTAACAGAGTGTAGGGACTAGGCTGAAATCAGCCTAGGGCTGCCTTTTTGCACATACTTTGCACACTTAGAGCTACACTAAGGAAAGGAAATCCAGTGCTTTGCTGGCTCTGCAGCTCTGGAAGAAAGGGTTGCTATGGGAGATCTAAACAAAGATGTAGTACAGGGGAAAAGAGCTGTGATTGTGTAAGGAGGAGTTAATCACAGTATTTAATTGTACTGGCAAGGAGTTCTTAAAGCCTGGGAGCTTTCTCCCCACAAACTGACCTACTTCCATTCCTATTTCTAGCTGCTGAGGTTGCTAGACAACACTGTAACCTGAGAGCAATGGTCCCTCCCCCCCAAACACAACCATAAAGCAAGTAAACAACTTTAATAGTGTAGTTCTAATAATGGCTTAGAGTGAAGCCACCTTCAGTTAAAAATTGTGCCTCAGTGCTTGACATACATTATAGAGACAAGAAAGCAATGCCAAAGATGTCTGAACTTCTCAGAGATCATCATCAAACTCCTCACCTGTGCAAAAGAGTTTTTCACAAGAAATGTTGCTCAGCTTTGGCCTGGGGTTAGAGTTAACAAGGGTATTTGCCCTGCTGGTGTTATCCAAACAGCACCTTCCTGCAGTAGTTTCTATCTGACTCTGAGGTTCTTTGGACACATCCTCAGCTGAGCATCTGGTGCTGGGCAATTTCATAGCCAGACCCTCAGTGCTGGCACCACACTTTTTAAATTTAAAACCTGTACCTTGAGGCTGAGTTCCTCCAGCCTGTTCTGAGCATCTCCTGGCCCCACCAGCACCTGCTGCAGTGGTGCTGTCCAGCCCCAAACCTGCACTGCTCCCCCACAGTGACAAGGTCACCCCAGCAGTGTTTTCACTGGAGTTGTCAGAAGATGAGAGAAATTTCCCCCACTTCGATGGTCTGGCACAGGTGGTTGGGGGTTGTGTGTTGTCCTCAGGCACTGCAGCCTCACAGACAGCAGGAACCACGCTGCCTCCAGAAACACCATCTCTGCCATCCCCATCAGGCACTGCTGCAAAGCATTTCTTGTGCTGTAAGAAGGAAGAGGGCTCTGTTATAAATCCAGCACACAGGGCTAGGCTGCACAGGAGCATTAAAGGTGGCATTGGCTTTGCCTGACTGAAGCCTTTCAGAGAGAAACCCCCAACACAGTTTTCTTCTCCCCAGTCGTTCAAATAGAAGAGCAGAGAAAGACTCATAAAAATTCAAAATGATGATGACACAAAAGAGGTCAGGAGAACACTCTTTTGTTTTACTGGTCAGAAGCATCTGCTACAGCTAAAATACCTCAGTGGTTTTAACCTTTTTGGCTTGGTAGACAGGCTGGAAAACTCCATTTTCTTCTGCATGCTCCGGAACATCACTGGAGAGGAAGCTTTTCCGATGTTTCCTGGCCAAGAAAACCATTCACAAAGAGGACAGATTCGCTTGACTTTCACCAGATCACCAGAGAAGTTCGTAAAATGCAGGGCTTTAGCAATAAGAGAAGTTTTATCCCCAAACACCAAACCTCTGCTCAGCTCAGGTCGTACACTGCAACCTCTGTTTTGTTCAGCTCTCAGAGATGAGCTGCCTCCCACACCTCCAAAACAAGTGTCACCACGAAGGGGCAGGAATTGCAAAACAAAGTTCCCTCTGTACCTTTGTTCTCCCACAGTGTTCTTCCTCTGGGAACAGAACTGTTGCCTTGCTAGAGCTGCCTCCTCCTCCCCGTCGTCCTGATCCTCACTCTCCTGGTCCAGATATTTACTCCAGCGACTCCCTTCAAACGTCTGACTTCCCTCCTACAACATTGGAGAGTTACTGAAAACATCAAAACACGGGGTTCTCATTTTTGGCATTGTTACACATGCACTGAATGCCTCAAGTGAGTCAGTTCAGGACATGTCCCTGTATCGTGTTCCCAGGCACAATTCCGAGTGGAGCAGAGTTTCTGTGTACATCTCATTCTCCCTCTGCAGGAGCCTCTCTGATTCTGTCACCATTTCAGCTGTCTGAACCATACAGAGGGATCACTGGATTCACCTGGGACAGAATGGGTTGGTATTTACCTCAGCTTTGTAGGGATTTTACCTGCTGGACTGAACTGTCCTCACGTTGTGCTGCTCTGTTTTTGCTGTCATTTACAGAGTCTTCTACGCACCTAAAACAGAGGTTTAAACTACAGTTTCTAGAACACACTCTTGTCTTTTGATTCACAGGTTTCAAATCACCCAGTTATATCACAAGGGATTGGACAGAAAGCATGGATAGGGACACAGTATAGGAGGCACATCTGAAAAACCAGGATCTACATAAAAGCTGATGCCAAATGAAGAACTTGCAACATATACTGACAAATACTTGAAAAAATCTGGTTAGCAAATAACTCTTTCTACACAAATACTTTGATCTAAAGCCACTAATCATGAAATGACAAATTCTAATTGAGCATAACTAGGGATATAACAGCATTTCTTTGGGACAACAGTTTGAACTCACTAATTAGATCCCAAGAAACCAAGCAAAAAGGGAAATTATTTCGCAATGTTTTGAACTTCACGATTTTTTGAGAATAAAAATAGCAACCCTCTTTGATAAAATGAACAAACAATGAGTTTTCTTCCCTGAGCTTAACCCTGAAGCACTGTGTACACACAACTAAGTTATGTAACCACCTTTGATTGATTTCTGAAAATAACCTCAAGTAAAAAGGAAGCTGGACCAGTTCAAGACCAGTTCAAGATTAAACGATTTATAAAGAGATTAAAGAATGAACTAAACAGGAAGGTGCTGTTCAGATTTTCCAGCCCAGCAGGAATTACAGAGAAATCTTTGCACTAAACAAGTCTTTTATCAATAGCAGCAGTGATTACTCAACAGATTCACAGCGTGAACCCCCTAAATGCCAATAGTTAGGTAGAGTGGAGGATGTTTTCTTTCTGAGGATGTAATCTGATGAGGATTGTAATCTGTAAAATGGACATCTCCACAGTCAGGTCATCAAACAGTACATAGGAAAGAGCAAATAAAAAAAAAAACCAAAAACGAAACCCAAACAAAACTAAAAAACAACACAACAAATCCAAACCCTATTGCATATATATAGATGGGTAAAGGCCTGACCAACACATGCTATTGATCAACCAAACTTATCCGAAAAAAAGTCCCTGTAAAAAGAAACATGCTGGGACACTTAACCTAATAAAGAGCTTGTTCCTTTGAGGTGAGGACAAACCTGGGTTAGAGTTAGGGGTCACAACAGGCCAGAAAACCCTCCCGTGAGCTCAGATTGAGTAACAGGCAGCCCGTGTGTGAGTATGTGCATCAGCTGCAGCACATTAAAAGAAATACACAGATCAAGATTAAACACTGTACCAAGATGTCCAGCCAAGCGCTTCCTCTGCCTCTCCCTGCAGCAAGTTTAACTTCTGGACGTGGTGCCTGCAGTCCGGGCCGGAGCCCTGCCCGTACACCTGCAGGGAATGAGCGGACACGGGGCGGAGGGAGCAGGTGAGGCGAGGGAACCCCCCGGGGCACCCCTGAGGTGCCAGCGAGGGCTGAGGGGCTGCCTCACCTTCTGCACGGCCTGCGACTGCCCGCACACGCTGCAGCTCCACTTCCCGCCGCGCTTGGCCTGCGAGGGCGCAGAGGGTCAGTGAGGGGTCAGTGAGGGGTCAGTGAGGGGTCAGTGAGGGGTGAAGGACGCGCACCCCCGTCCCATCCATCCCGTCCATCCCGTCCCCCACCCCACCGGGTGCACTTGAGCGGCGGCAGCGGCAGCACCGCAGGACCCGGAACCGCTGCGCCATCGCGGGCACGTGACCGCGCGGGCCCACAGCGCCCCCCGGCGGCGGCAGCGCGGGGGACACTGGGGGGGGACACGGGGGGGACACGGGAGGGACACGGGGGGGACAATCCCGAACAAACACATCCACTCACCGCCCGGAGCCGCCCCACGCAGGAAGACTCCCCGCAGCGCCGCGCAGGGCTTAGTGTAAGTCAGAGGGCAGGCTGGCTGTGAGTTAATACAAGTAAAGTTCTCCCAGGAGGGAGAACGCGTCGTGTTTGAAGCTCCACAGTCACCAGGGCTGCACCTACCTGAAACTGTGTCAGCGTGTGTTATATAAAAAGTGTTCAGAATAATGATAAAAAGGAAGGAAAAGAAAAGGGGGGGGAAAGAAAGGGGAGGAAAGAAAGGGAGAAAAGAAAGAGGGGGGAAAAAGAAAGGGAGGGAAGAAAAGGGGAAGTGAGGAAAGAAAGAAAAAAAAAAAAGAAGAAAATAAAGAATAAGGAGAGAGGGAAAAAAATGTGAAACCAAAAATGAATAAGAAAGAAAGAAAATAAGCAAAAAGGAAAGAAGGAAGGAAAGAAGGAAAAGAAAGGAAGAAGAAAAGAAAAAAGGAAAGAAGGAAAGGAAGAAGGAAAAGAAAGGAAGAGGAAAGAAGGAAAGAAAGAGGGGAAAAAAAGGAAAAGAAAGAAGGATGAAAGAAAGAAAGGAAGGTAGGTCACACTGCAGTCCCACCAAGTCTGCCCTTTTCAATAACCATCCTGGACAAAGAACCAGCAATGTTCCATGAGCTCAGAGAAATAAAAGGCAGCCAAATAGCCTGTAGGATTCTGGTTCATTTATTGAATACATGACAGATAAGACAGACAGTGTAAAATCACATGTATTATTTGTACTTTAAAAAAATTACAATAAATTACTGAATAATTAGTAAAAGCAGTTTTACTAATGGCTGCTCTCCAGTGATACAGGACAGAGGAGGCAGAGAAATAAGAAATATGTACCAGCTGTGAATACACACTGAGAATGTCACGAGGATGAATTAACACTGAGTAGCACACCGAGTAGTGTTAAATGGGAACATCCACGTACGTGTCCTTCCTACCCTTATACTGTATGTGTCCTTCCTACCCTTTTATTCCAAATGCCAGCCAAAAGCTGGATCAAACCTTGCCTTCAGTGCGGGGTCTGCTCTGGCCGAGCAGCAGCGCCTCTCCCCCTGGCCCTGCAGGGTCACTGCCTGAGATGAGTTCATCTGTAGTAACAGCATTAATTCTGCTTCCTTGGAGCACACACCCTGCTACTAGAAGGGCAACTTCTAGTTTCCTCTGGTTTTAATTGATTTAAAAGAGCACTCCCTCAGTCTCCCAGTTATTTTGACTCTAACTGGAACGAGATCTAGTGTGGAGGTTTCCCATAGCGGGCTGAAGGCAGAGGGCCACGCTGCTCTGAATTCTTTCTCTATAGGTATAAATGCCCTTGGATGTGCAGGAGTTTCTAAGAGCATGTCCACTGCTAGACTTCAGAAAGGACACACTGAGCAGCAGTGCATGGCACAACACTCCTGCACACCTTCCTGCCCCAAGCATTTGTGAGGGCTGACTGATCAGAGTACTCTTAGGGGTCCATCTAAAACCTGGACCCATCACTAGCTAGTAAAAGTGGAGAATCAGCAATAAACAGTGAATGTACCGATAGGGAAAGCCCAGCAGACCAGTGTACCACTGCCCTGGAACACTGAGGCTGATTCACTGACTTCTAATTTGGGAACTTATTCCCTCATCATAACCATCATGGGTCCACTGATTGACTCAGTATTACTTCTGCACTGAAGTCAAGGAGCTTGTGGCTTCCCAGACAAAGTAAAACCAATGGCTTTCAGATGATTAGAAAAGCAAATGCTAGAAAACTAGGTTTGTCTGAAAACTCCTGAATGCTGAAGGAGAAAGTAAGTGGTCGTACACTATGAAAATGCCAAACCACATCTGAAAGAAACCTGAAGGTCTGAGCAATGTCTGTGTTTAGATCTGAGGGTGCTGGGAGCAGTGGGGTACATTTGCTTTATAGCTGCTGAGTCACAGAACAGCTTACAAGAAGAACTTACAAGATTATTTATAGGTCAGGGTCCTATAGCACTCGACTACACTGCATTAGCTCTCGGACTGGCAGCCAGAGGTGAGCATGGTTTCAAGCCAGGCTGCATCTGCTGTGCAAGTTACCCAAGAACCTACAGCAAACAAGGGCAGGCAAGGAGCAGTTACTGTCTGAAATAAAACTTCATTAAAATAAAAGACAGCAAAAGGCAGACATGCATAATTTATGGTGGTAATTCTATATGTCAGGGGCTATTAGGTTCTAATGGCTCTCGAGAATGTAAATCTAATTCTGTCAGCCAGAGTAGCCAAAGAAGCACCTACACAAAACAGTCACTGTCAGAAGCCCCTTATGAATTGGAATCTATTGTAATTGTGTTGTTACTGGTCTCTGATTAAACAAAAAAAACCCCAAACAGAAAATACCAAACCATCCTGCCATCTGCCACTTTATCTTCCCGTTTTATCTCCAAAAGACAACTCCTGCTTTCTTGAGTTCACCCTGACACAGAGGAAAGTTCATAGTCACTGGATGAACTGAACTGCCTCTCTACCTTCTTCTGATCCTTGATCTTCTGGAGAATGTTGACCTTCTTCTCAAAGTAGTTTACAAGGGCTGTTTCTGTCAGCATGGAGGCCAGGATCTGCTCGAAGGAGATGGACCAGTCAGTGTCAATGGTGCTGCCATACCTGGCAGCTGCACTGCTGCCCTCACAGCCCACCAGGACCGTGTCGTCCGCAATGTCTTCACACTGCAAGGAGCCTGTGCTGACCATGGAGTAGGAGGACATGGACATATCATCTTTGGTTTCATCATCTGATAGCAGCTGTAAAGGAGAGCCTTGTCCTTCCCCCGACACATCTCCTAGAGTTTGGTTTTCCTGCTGTGTTTTTTCAGGCTGAGCATCAATGCTGGCTTTCTCCTCGTGGTCAGCTTGGGGTTGCTGCTCCACTGCCGAATTCTGACTCTGTTCAGATGTTGGTGACTCCTCTTCACTCACAGGATCTTGGGTATTGTTTGCTTTGCAATCCTCAGACTTCCTTGTGGGTCTGTTGGAGAACTTTTTGCCAACCTCCCCAATTCGCAGGAGGAGACTGGCCACAGTGGCGATGGCATGGTACAGCTCCTGCTCCACGGGGTCCTCGCTGAACATGTTGTAAAGGGTCTTGCATAACTCTATGAACTGTTCCTTTAAAAGACAAAAGACCAAAAAATCATACTTCAGGCTAAAAAAAGTTTTCAGTGGCTGATGAAGCAACAGGCACCATCTCGAATGACTCATTGTTTATTTGCCTTCCCACCAAGCAAGTGGCAACTGACTGTACTGACTCAGAACAGTCTGACACAGGCAAACTCCCCTCTCTCTCCTGTAGTGGCTACATTGAGACACAGCTGGCAATTTAACAGGGGTGGGTTTTTTGCTGGCAAATGAACAGAGTAGTCACATATTCACAGTTAAGAAAATCTGAAGTTTTACTTCTATTCTGCTACTCTTCTGTGGTCAGCTGCTTACAAATTGGTTTAAGTAGCACCCTTCAAGGAAATTAGAGACAGAAAAGATCACACCAGTCATCTGACTCTCTTTTCTGTAACCACATTCTTCACTCTCCACCAAGCAGCTGTAACTTGAGGCAATGCAAAACCAAAAGAGTCCAACAAGTTTCTATGACCGATGGTATTATTTGAGACACCCTGCTCTGGAGGGAAAACACAGATTGCAGTTCTTACAAGAAAAATTGATCTGGGAGGAATCCAATACATTTGATTGGTTAAAACAAAGCAGTTTGTCCATATCCACTGTGGAATTTAACAGAAATGTGTGGAATTAGAGGTTCTAAAGTTCACCAGACCAGACCAGCAGGGCAAGCTACAGGTAAGGACTGAGCATGCTGGCACAATGGCTGCACATCCTGCTGAATTCCCCACTAAACTGGAAACCTTCTCATGCACTTCTTACCTGGCTCATTTTGGGGAGGTCTTTAATGGTTTCTTTCTTGGACTCTTTTTCCTTGGCCCACATTCTTAGGTAGTATCTGTAGTCCTGTGGACTGGTACCTTTCTCCTCTGCAAGGCAAGAACAAGCCACTAGTGAGGTGGTTAATGGTTTCAGACTTAAAAAGTGAATGCTGTGCTAGCAAAAATCAGGCTGGAGGCAGGTTTTATTGACAGTCCAGGAAAGCATATACCAGGAATGCTGTGTTGTTTTCTGCTGGTTTATCTGATCCAGCTCAGCAGAGCAAAAATTTTAACAGTGCTGCATCAGCTCGACTTCTCATAAATGAACTCTATGAGTTGACAACTTACCCAACATGATTTACAAACACTGTGATCTTGGTGTGTACAAGAGTTGGAGCAGTAAGGCATAAGAGAATTATTTCCCAGCTCACCTCCCACTTCACCTCTGTCCACAGGGGACACTGAAAGGTCTTCTTGATCAGCATGGGACAATGAGCAGTTCATAACATGAGAGAGACAAGACTAGAGTGTGGTTTCATGGATGATGAAATTACCTTTTTCTGGACCATTCTCATTTCTCCTTCCTTTATCTTCTTGGGTTTCTAAAAAATTATGGAATTATAAAACAACAATTAATAACTGATTTTCAACAATACAACACACAAAGAACTTGACAACTCAATATAAAATTATACAAGAATATATTTAATAGAAGTTAGATCTCACACTCCCACATCATGTTTAGAGGAGTGAACAGAACAGGATGGAAGCAAGAGGCTGATGGGATGAGCTGGATAAAGAGACACACTCAAAAAGTGGGTTGAAAAGCTGAGGTAGAGGGCAGAGCTCTTAAAAGAAAGGGTTAAACACAGATATGAAAGGCAGCTAAGCAATGTGATGGCCTAAAGACAAGGAAGTTCAGTCATCCAAAGCAAGATAATAAATGGAAAAACCCCAAACCACTACTGAGCA